ACAGTTGAAGGCCAGATAAAAGCAATGCACCAGACGTGGGGATCACTGACAAGGTTAGCCCAGGATAGACAAGAGTGGAGGAAGTTGTTGCTGCCCTACACACCACAAGGTGTATTGATTGTATATCGTTTAACGTCCCTCTCGAGAATTTTTCACTCATATGGAGACGTCACCGTATGCCGGTGAAGGGCTTCAAATTTTGACCTTTACTCGGCACTCAGGGCCATTGAGCAGTGAGGGATCTTTATCGTGCCAACGCCTGCCGCTGACACGGGGCCTCGGTTTTTAAGGTCTCATCCGAAGGACCCGCAACTTTCACTTCAAAGTGCCGAGCGCATGGCGAAGGAACAGTTGCTGCCCATTTTAACGACTAGGTCAGTCGCGGCCGAGATACGAACTCACGACCTCCCGATCACGGAGCGAGCGCTCTACCGACTGAGCTACCGTGAACGGTCACCACAAGGTGTAAAGGACGATGATAAATATAGTTAATAATAAGGACCTTATATCACTTAATTATTTTAAATGGTCTTAATATTATCATCATCATAAGTTCTATGTTCGATACAATGACCTTGTCAGCAAATACTATTTATCATTGAGTCAAATGCTGACTGAAAGGTATGCTGTTTTTCATACTATAAAATATAATTGTTAGTCCATTATTTTTACACTGAATTGACGATGGATTTTTCCGCTAGTTCCCGACTATGACAATATAGGATCACACGGCGGGCGAGACCGATTGGCAGGGGATGCTCACTCCTCCATGGCACATGATCCCACCTCTGACGTTTTGGAGGTCCGTGTTTGCTCTGCTCCTATTTTGTATTTTTTTAGTGGATTTTTGATCTTGAATACTATATCGATCGTTAGCTCCATATGTTTCATTGAAATGTTAAATTGTGTAAAGTGTATCAAAACCCAGTGGCGTAGCATCGTTTTTGAAAGTGGGGGGGCCAGCCAGAGAAATTTTTTTTTTACTTACCTGAAAAAGTTGACAAGCAAAAAAAAAAAAAGGAAAAAGTTGCCCAAAGCCGAAAATCCTATTTTGGGGGGGGGGGGGGAGGAAAAAGTTGCCCAAAGCCGAAAATCCTATTTGGGGGGGGGGGGGGGGGGGGTAGGTTTAACTATTTTCAGAGTCAACTACTTTTAGTACCAATTCTAATATACTTTTTCAGTACATAACTAAAAGTGGGGGGGGCGCAACCAGGCTTTCAATTAACATTTTCTATACTATAAGTAAGGTTGGGGAAAAAATTGGGGGGGCAGGCCCCCCTGCCCCCCCCCCCCCCCCCCCCCCTGTTGCTACGCCCCTGAAACCTAAAAATAAAGAAGGAAAAAACTTTTCATTTTGTTGTGTCCAAAATATGAAACAGAGAAGATATTCAAAGCAAAATTATCTTCTTTTCCTGTAGTTTCAACCAAACAATCAATATCATATACACTTTTGTTAAAGTCAAAAATGAAAATACAGTTGTAAAAGGGTTTGTAAAATATCTTTTTATGTCAAATATATTATTTTAGAAAAAAATGTGTTAGTCGATCATACGTACCTAGTCTCTGATGACTTATCTGCATCTCTGAAGGGATTTCAAAAGTTTGTATTCATTTCTATAGTTCTGATCTAAGTACTGTACGTGTTATCATGCTTCAATTATTATGTTCTGTATGGGCCTTTACCAATCACTGTAAATGTGTACACTATATGTGTCAATAAATTATTGGACATTATAAGCATGTTAAGGGGGATGTACGGCCACCTTTAGTGCAGTGAGAACAAAATGTAAACATTTCCTCAAATGGCTAAAGTACATCATATTTTGATCAAATTTTAAACCCTTTTGATAAAGATACAATAAATATGCATAACTGAATGCATGTTGTGCATATATAATCTATACTTTTGCAGAAAAATGCTTTTGATATGCTCCTTAGAACTGCGCAGCTACAGAATTCAGCAGAGCCTTAAAAAATCCAAAAAAATACGCAAACTGTGCATTAATGTTCTCTCTACAACCATTTGTTGAGAAAATGTCTAAATTTTGCACTTTTAAATGATAATTTTAAGTTCAAAACAAGGTATCGTTGTCTTCAAAAAGAGTGTAAAGAACCCTGAAAGTAGTTCATTGATAGCAGCACGTGTTCTATTTTTAGCACAGAATTTTGTTTTCCAGACCTCTTCTTAATATGGAGGGACATAATCTTTAAATGTAGAAGAGAATTACAGTTGCAAAATATTTCAAATAATATGAACACTTTTAAAAGAGGAATTGTGTTATAGTGTGACTTTATTTATTTATTTAGTATTATTATCGAACAGTTGTTAAATAGTGTAAGTATCTAAATAAACTCTTTGATTCCAGGTAAGGAAAAATGAGCACCATCAAAGTTTAAAAATAAGAGTTTGTAAGTTTGCCACAGATAACTTATAATATCTATCAAAAGTTTAATTATCACTAATGAAACACAAAGAAATTAAACACATAAAATCGATATGAAAAACCTTGTGTTAGAATCAACTGGTACGAGGGGTGATCAAAAAGTTCTCGAACTATCTCTATATCTACAAAACCACAGTTAAGACTAGAAACAAATTTGGTGCACACTCGAGTTCTATAAATAGCATATGCTGAATAAAGTTTTGCTCACAATGTGAAAATGAAGTCATTATGCAGGTACTTGTAACGAAAAATGGTTGTCTCAGTTGAACTCGTTCAACAAACGACAAAAATATTTATGGTATATCTTAAAAATGCCTTTGAAGTAACGTATAAGAATTTGTTCATAGTTTATTAAGACAAATGACTTCTTAATAATTCAATCAATGATTGGATAGATCGTTATAGTGAATGAAGGCAGATGGTTGAATATGATACTTGTTATGTTGCCCGTAGAAAGCAAGTTTGAAAAGGGGTTTGTTTTTAATTAAGCAATATGCTATCAAAGATCTCCAATTTACATTTTGAAAAACACTTGAATATTTCAACAATAATATATCTATCAAATACCTAAGATATCGTTTACTTTTGATCACCCCCCCCCCCACCCCTTATACTCTGTCAAATAAACATTTACAATTTTCATTACGGCGGAGCAACATTTGAAAAGGAATAAAATCATTCAGAGTAGGAGATTTAATGAATCTTTTTTTTGTATTTGCCAATTTTGTCAAAATTATAATTTTACAGAGGAAAGAAAAAATTCTACATAATTAAATATTTTATACCATTTTTAAAATGACGTTTAGTTGACATCCCAACTCAGGGAAAATTATTGGGTCCGTATTTATGGCGAGAAAAAAATTTCCTTAAAATTTTAATATATTTGTTGACGGAAGAAAAAAAAACCCTGTAATTGGATGTAAAATAAAATTGAGTCGGGCCATTTCTAGGCAGTAGTTCTGGAGAGAGGGCATCCAAATATTTTTTATAACAAATGGTCCTATAAGGCTAGTACATGTTCCATCACATACTTAGTAATGCAATTTTTTTTAATCTTTGGCACTATTTTGAAAAAAAAACATAGGATTTTCGGAGGGGGAGGGGGGATCTCTCCTTTTTTTTTTTTTTTTACCGATGATAGACATAGCATATGCAATGGACCTTTGTTTGCAAACATTGTGATTGCTTCTAAATTTCAAAGAAACAACTCAATATATTTTATCAAGCTTCGTATGTTCAATAAGCGAGAGCTTACAACGTAGTCAACATAATGAGACATCATGTGTTTTTATGTCCAAACATTACTCCATACAATGTGTTGGTGATTGCATACAATCAAGATATTTACGTGAGGTGCCTGAAGGAAATACTTTAACTGCCTATTTTTTCTATCTAACTACTAAACAAAATAGACATATGTACCAACTTTTCGAATGTAAGACATGTAATTGCAATTTGTTTTTCGTGCAGCGCATATTTTTTAACATTTTCAAATTAAATGCTAAGCATCCTCCTTGCAGTGCCCCATTTCAAAATAACTTCTATCGCCACAGAAAAAAGACCCGACGTAAACACAAATGTTTAGGGCATTTTATAGCTTTTTTCTTGAGTTTTAAAGAAACCAACAAATTATCAAGACTTGTTGCACGATAAATTAAATACAATCATGGTAATAAACGCATCTATCCACAGCAGATATATACACATGCCAACCACGTGCTCAGTGTAATAATATTAGCTAGGAAACTCGAGCTGCGAACAGAACAGTTTTTCCCGATTTGCTGAAGTGGGGTTAAAATCGCGTTTTTTCATTAATCAGCCGAAGCGATGCAACAAATAAAAGTAGTAAGTAATATTACCTAATGGTTATAACTTAGTAATTATTTGTCTTGATGTTATTATGGTCGCATTAATTCTAAAATCAATGTTATTCGAACTCTGTGTGACAGAGGAATGGCGGACGAAATAAACACATGGCCTCAGGAAGACACACATATGAAAAATCAAATTTTCAAGAATTTTAGATAATGACAAGAAAAAAGCGAAACAAATGGTTGTAGCCATATTATCAATGAATCAAACTAACACCATTTTCAATGCATTTTTCATCTCGTGAATGCTGTAGCTGCGCAGTTCTACCATGATTAATTTCCTCCTAATTAAGACACAATAAACTTAATTATTTACTACTTTTGGTCTCTAACAGTAGGTACCTATTGCATTAACATTTTGAGTAACTTTGGGCTAGTTTAGACGAGTATTAAGCGCATTCTTGGCATTTCTTATTTCATACCAGACTAGATCCAATTGGCTTGTACATCCCCCTTAAGCCTTGACAAGTATAACAGGTTCTTTCTAATGAAAAATTAACCTATTTCTTCCGCGATTTATTTTACCATTCACTCAAGGTGTATTGTAAATATTATTCAATAAACAAAATTTACATTTAAATTAATAAAGTCAATGTTCAAGATATTAAACATGAAGAATATAAAGACCATTATACGTACCAAAGTGAAACAAAAATCCCGAGTTGCCTCCTCTTGGACTGCCTAATATTTCCCGCCACGCATTGCGAGTCTATGAACAACACGTGAAATCCAAAATGGCTGATCAGAATGAAGAAGATACGACTCCGGCGGCAGATATTGTCGTTACTAAGTATAAAATGGCCGGAGATATGGTCAATGGTGAGATAATTACTAATAACTTGAGCTAATTTTATTTTTTTAATGAATCTATCGATGATGTTCATTTTAATAGGGCTTTCGTTCACTTTTGAGAAAGCTAACGTTTTGCCATGCCGATTGACCACATGTGTGATTGCACAACAAAGTGTCAAAACTTTCAGGTTATCTGTGATAATGAGAGAAAATGATTTCTGTGTTCTAACAAAGAACTACATTTATCATGACATCATCATTTAAAGAAACTTCTCAGCGCGATCTAGTTTTTCCTCTCTACCATATGTTTATATCCCCCCTTCGCCTCGCCTCAACAAAATCACGATCCAACAATAAATCCTACTATTCCAATCTATCCAACTATCACGGATTAAGATTTTTTTAATTGACATTTTTTATATGAATGCCTTTCATTCGTGGCAATTTGAATAAAAAAATATTCTTAAAAAAAAAAAAATTACATATGGTTGGTAAGCGGCGCGTCGACTTACCCAAATGGACCCAAATGGAAACAAATGGACCCAAATGGAAACACAAATGGACCCAAATGGAAATCAAATGGAATATCAATATGTATTATCGTATTTTATTACTTATTTAAAATGATGAAAATAAATGAACTTACAGTTACAAATGGAGTTATATATTTATTATTAATCTCTAATATTGTATTTGGTGACATGAAGTTTTGATAGTATTCTATATACCGGCAAAATTATTTGGGGGTGGGGGGTGGCATGCCCCCCCCCCTATCCGTTCATACTACCATAGAAACTATCAAATACTTCAGTTTTGTATTCAAATATGTTCAATAGTAATTACAAATAGAATTAAATTGCATTTTTAAAAATACAATTGAAGAAAATAATGATATTAAAATATTCTCTTTTTGTTAACATGGTTAATTTCATTATTTTCTATATTTTAAATAAGTAAAAACTTGAGAATACGATGTAATATATATATTTTATATTCCATTTGGGTCCATTTGAGTTTCCATTTGGGTCCATTTGTTTCCATTTGGGTTCCATTTTGGTCCATTTGGGTAAATCGACGCACACTTGGTAAGGAATTAAAATACAATGAGACATTATACTACTCGATTAATGTTGAAGGGTGTATTCACTCTTTTGGGTTCATCTTCTATTGAGATTTAAGTGGACACTACCAAAAATACAATACTGGGGGATTATGTCATTATAGATAGTTTTCGATTGACCTAAATTTAGCAAAAGTTACCTCCCGTTGGCCGCCATACTGGAGGTCCAAATGCTCATATTCCTTCATTGTTCAACCAATTTTAAATTTTTATATTTGCGATTTTGAATTAGGAATCATTACTTTTCTGAGGTATATAAATTTTTGGAAGCCTCCTTTATTTAAAAAAAATTATTTAATAAAGATTTACCACCAAATATTTCTGCTTTATTTTCTTAAACTTGGTAAGACTAAGAGGAAAACTCACCGAGTCGACCTCCAATATAGCGACCAACGGGAGGTAACTTTTGCTAAATTTAGGTCCATCGAAAACTATCTATAGGCAGGGGAACATTCCCCTGATCCAGGTTTTTCATAACCCAGTATCAATCGATCGATCGACCAATCGTAGATTGACATGATTGAGATCCATTGAATTTAGTCATTGTCATAATTATAATAATTTGAATTCAAAAATGTGTTTGTTTTGTTGCTAGTTGATTAACAACGTCTGTTTATTTTGAAGGCATCATGAAGGAAGTGATTGCTAAGTGTGTTGCTGGGGAAAAGATAAACAACATTTGTGAGTTTAGTGACAGGAGGCTACAAGATGAGACGAGCAAAGTGTTTAAAAAGGACAAAGAAATGAAGAAAGGTATGAACATGATGAACAAAAAATCTACAGACTTTGTTAAAGCCCTCCAGCTTTAATCATTTCTAAGGTTGCAGTTGCCAATTATGGTCACGGACAAGTTTTAAAAAAGAGTTAACTCATTTAAATGTATATAAAGTAAAATATGCATAAAGCAAAAAATTACAATGAATTGACACTTACAGGGGAATTATTTTCATTACCCATGGCTTTAAAATATACATACAATATATAAAAATTGAACAGATAATGAGATTCAAATAGGTTCATCATGAACCAAAATCATCTGTCCTTGAGACGTAACTCTTAAGTGTATTTTACTGTATGTCATATTGAAAGTGAAAGCATTGTTTTGATGTCTTAAAACATGTTATATTGGAAAAGAGTAAGAGTATAATTTAATTTGTATAAATATTTAATTGCATTGGCCATATGAAGTTCTGTCTCAGTCTTCTTGGAAATATCAGTGTGATGTCAGATTTGTGATTTTTTTTCTAGGTATTGCCTTCCCAACGTGTGTTTCAGTCAACAACTGTATATGTCATTTCTCTCCCCTTAAGAGTGACCCAGATAAAGAGCTTTCTGATGGGGATGTTGTGAAGATGTAAGTAAAAAAATAAGAATGACTGTGTCATGATGTGTGCTTATTTACAATAGGAGGTTTCAATTTGTAACCTTTGAGTATTGATCTGTTTTCAGTATAGAAAGAAGAGAAAGTTTTGTATAAAAGAAAACTTCTTTCTCCATAAAATACTACACTAATTTGATTTTATTTCACTGTTTCTTTGTGAAAAACCAGCGACCAAGATTTCCTTTAAATGATCTGTGAGTGAAATTAATATAGTCAATTTTCAAGAAAATCAATATTGATTTTTGAAAAAGATGATAAGAATAGGTATATATATGCTTTTTTTGATTGAGGTTTTATTTTTATAACTGTATGCATTTTATTCAAGTTTTTACAACATGATTTATCAACCTTTTGTGTGTTGATTTCTATGTACTGAGTTAGTTTTATTTTTAATTGACAGTGACTTAGGAGCTCAGATAGATGGCTACATTGCTGTGATTGCACACACACTTGTCGTCGGTGCATCAAAGGTTGGTGTCTCTCTGATCTTAGAATTGAAAGAGATAGAAGGGTTCGACATTAACGCTTGTCCGGTACCAGTGAAAAAAAAATTACTGACAAGTAAATTTTATTGGGCACTTGTCCGATCGGACAAGTGCATTTTCATATCTATATTTAGCTTATTTATTTTACATATTAACCCCAGATGTTAAATAAACAAAGAAAAACAGAAGTCTGAATTTTTTGGCGGTATTTCAATAGTTCTTCATATGTATCGATATGCATATCGTCCTCACAGATATCTCGATATATCATCCCAGCCCTAGTATCTTCGTAATTATTGTATGTGAGTACTGCAGATGATGTAATTATTTAAAAAAAAAAAAAAAAAATCTATTATAGGAAAATAAAGTTAAGGGGAGGAAAGCAGATGTGATCATGGCAGCACATTTAGCTTCAGAAGCTGCCCTTAGGATAGTCAAACCAGGCAATGAGGTAATTGAAAAGACAGAAGTGACCAGGTTCTATTTTAAATCCTTGACAAATAATCAGGTTTCCATGTCCTGAAAATGATTAAAATAAAGATAATTATTATTATTGATCTCTTTTGCTGTATACATGTACTGCTACATTGGCTAAAATGCTAAACAGTTTAGAGATTGCTGACAATTCCTCCTCTTGTAGAATAATTTGGTGACTGACGCTGTACAGAAAGTTGCTGAGTCATATAAATGTAAACCCATTGAAGGTGAGAATGTGCAAGATTAAAATACACCTGCCATTATGTGGTGTGTCAATAATATTCTCCAGTATTTATGTTCCGTGTTGTGGCCATGATATTTTGATCAATCTATTTCTTGCTAGGAATGCTTTCACACCTGTTAAAGAAGCATGTTATTGATGGGGAAAAGGCAATAATTCAGAATCCCTCAGAGGCACAAAGGTAAGTTTTATCAGATAAAAAAGAAATGTGAAAAGGTAATGTACTCATCTGTATTGGATATTCAAACTGTACTGGTTGGGCCATCTGTAAAAATCTGTTTTGCCCTCTCCTGACTTGCAGTTTTTTTTCTAAAAATAATTTGATAGTTTGATATATGCACATTTTTTGCTCTGATTTCAATAAAAATGCAATGCGTAAGCAAGTGGATATAACCTTATTGTCATGCTAAAAGTTGATGTTTAAATTTTAGGAAAGAACATGAAAAGTGTGAGTTTGAGACATATGAAGTGTATGGAGTTGATGTTTTAGTCAGTACAGGTGAAGGCAAGGTGAGGTGGAATAAACCAATAGCACCTGTTTCAATAGAATTATACCTATATACAAAAGAGGAAAAATTTTCTAACCATTTTCTTGAAAGAAATTTATTTTGTTTTAAATTGGGATCTAGTGAAATGCATTATCAAATTAAATTTGAATGAATGATTTGGCAGTAAGCATCTAAATCTGACATCATTATATTTGTATTCACAGGGTAGGGAACAGGAGACCAGGACTACAGTGTATAAAAAGAAGGATATTATATATCAACTGAAAATGAAGGCCTCACGACGTAAGTCGGGGTACTCTACAACTGTATGTCATTGAAAGTTTTCATCTCGTGAAATCAGATATATAATGTACATTATTTGTTTGTAAATGTGATTGCTGTATGCAATTCAGCAGTTACTAAACGTAATAAAACATGCATATAGCAAGCATCAGGGACAAGCAAATTAGATTTGATCTAATTTGTTATAACTGATATTAATATTGAATATGTTTTAACCCACAGGGTATGAAAATCAGTTGGTTGTACATATGAGTTTAGAAGTGTTTTCACTACAACCATAATATGCTATACATAGTTGATTGATAAGAAATTATTTTACCTTAAATTACCTAGGATTTCTTTAATTTTGTTAACAGTTTCTTAATAAAAGGGAGTTGACAAGAGCAGTCAATTAATATTGCAAAATAAATGAAATGTGTGATAAGTGTCCCAGGAATTAGCCCACAAAGGAGAAGAAAAAACTTTTAAATACAAATTGATCTTGTCATTATTGCAGAGTTCTTAAGTGAAGTAGACAAAAGATTTGGACTGATGCCTTTTTCACTACGACTTTGTGAAGATGAGAAGAAGGCCAAGATGGGGGTCGTGGAGTGTGTAAAACACGAACTGATGCAGCCCTTCTCTGTACTGTACGAAAGAGAAGGTAGGTTCTCTTTATCATACAATGGAAATAAATGTACCATATTGGGGTTGTGGAGTGAAATCAACCTTTTTCTGCTTTCTCTGAAGGAGTCCTGAAGATTCCCTTTATCATTCAGTATGAAGAATGAATGGGGGTTGGGAATTCAATATATAAGAAGATTACTGTAAAAGCACAAATATTTGTGGGGGATTAAATTTTGTTTATTTCGTTGTTAACAATTATCAACGAAATTAAATCCCACAAAAAATTTTTTATAACCATATATTGAAAAGGTTTACATTCAAAACAACGAAACTAAAATCCCATGCAACTACTTTTGACGACAAATCAACAAAATTTTATCCTCACGAAAATTTGTGCTTCTATAGTATATAAGATTCGTAATGAACAGATGCCACAATTGAACAAGGATGTGTACATGTATGTGACACATTTGTTTTAATTTCAGATTGAGTTTTGTGGCTCAGTATGTAACAAGAGATTAATTAAATTTCAGGGGAGTTTGTGGCGCAATTCAAGTTCACAGTCATTCTGATGCCAAATGGACCTTTAAAGATAACAGGACTACCATTTGATGAGGAATTATATGAATCTGAATACCAGGTAGAGGACGAGGAAATCAAGGTCAGTGCATCTTATTGGGTATAAAGATTAATAAACATACATGTATCAATTATTTGTTTATTCATGGGTAATTATTCTATTTAATATCCTTAAAAAGAAACAGAAGTATTAAAAATGACAATTTATCTGAATTTTTAGGATAAAAAGAGGCGCAGAATCACCAAATTAGTCAGTTTGTGCATTTTGTTTCTCCGAGTTGCCCAATATGTAGGTCACAATGACCTACTTTTAGAATTTTAAGGCTTTATCTTAATATATAGAACACCATGAGACTTCCAACGGATGTGATTGTTTGTACTATATACAAAAGAATGATTTTACTTTAGGCTTTTTGGCCTTGTGTACAAAAAGCATGTATTGTTTCAACCCAGTATCCGGGGTTAGATTTCTGCATGGACTAGCCCTTCCCTAGATGGGTGAAAGTAATTGTCTCCTCATGTTTGTGATTTATCTGAAAATAGATGGAGCATTTTGAGGAAGCTAACATCCTTACAACCAAAATGGATTGTAATGTGCTTTTGTAATTAGTTCCTACCAGTAATATTTAATGTTAGGATGCATTGGACGCAGAGATATTTATATGTCCACCATTTATGAAATCTACAGACTTAATATTTTATTGTACTTCAACAGGCCCTGCTTTCTCAGTCTGCATCAAGGAAGGCAGCCAAAAAGAAGAAGAAGAAAGCAGGAAAATCGATGGCAGAATCAGCAGAAAATGCAGAAGACTAAAGTCAAAATCTTCATATATTTTATTGATGGTGCATGGAGGACAGACTCCAAAAAACGTGGACAATTAAATAGAAAACGGACAATTGTACAACCGAAATCTCGCTATCAGCGATCCCTAAAAAGTGGCTTGAAGAGAGACAATTTCATTGTTTTTAAAGAACATTAAAACTCGAAGTTTCAGTGGATGAGTAACTCGGTGTCATTTTCATCATGGTCCTGTCCAGTAGAGAACGCTAGTCTACACGAGTTAATCTTGTTTACTGAAGAACCCCATTGTACGACATATTATCTTTATATGTTAAAAGAGACCTCATCTTTTTATCGGATTTTCCAAACGTCCACATTCAATAGTGCTGTAATGAGTTTTTATGGATTTATTCAAACATAGTTTATTTTCAGGGCTAATTTTCAGTCTATTTGACTAATTTGAACTAGATATTTATTATACATTTGTAGAATGACCTATTATTTGAATTTGTACGAATTTATTACTGATACAGTGATCATGTATGTTAAATTATTATGACATTTAGTGTGTAAGATCTGGAATGTGTAAATCTGCTGAATAAAATGATATTCTGCTGTCTTGTATACAGTTTCTGCATCAGTAATCTGAAAGTTACATAAAGTACTTCAAAGATTCAGAATCATTTAGGTAAGAAAAGCATGAAAAGTAATTGTCATATCTGTTTTCTATTCTTCTGCCTGTCATTTTGCATTTAGCCCAGAGCTGAGGAAATGGAGAAATTTTTATCCAAATTCATACACTGCTGCATATTGGTCAGAGATGTTCAACTGTTTATTTTCTGACTTTGACCTTTCATGCAGCTGAGATTCATAATTTTAAACTTACCTCTGAATATGACCAAACACTCTCCTTTTGCATTTAGTTTTATTTCAGAATTAAACTGTTCCAAGAGTGTTTCCTGAAATCATCAAACATCGGAAAATGATATAAATTGGTGAGATTTTCAGGTATCTCATTTTTTAACCTTGACCCTACTTATGACCTTGAATTTTTTTCTCATTTTTCCGTGCTTCATTTGAAAAGAAGAATATGGCCCATTAAGAATTCCTTTTTAATATATATTTGGAGGCCATGATTACATTAAAAAGGGAGGGGGCATGGCAAAACTTAAAAAAGAAAATTATTTTCAAAACGACGAAGTCGGACATAAGGACAAGGTGACCTGATGCAGTGCCACATTCTCTCCATAAACACAACATTTATTCCAAGTAAAAAACTTTTATTCTTGAAATGTCATGGACACATATTTGAATAAATGAATTCAGGTGAGAAAAATGGAATGCATTGTTGAATAAACCTCCCAATAACTTGTAACCTGACCTAGTAAGAACAACTATATATTTCTGTTTCATGATGATGTGTAGCATATGATTAGGAACAACAAAAATGGAAAGAGCAAGCGAAAATGTCAATGTTGTTAGGGTTACATCAGGTAGGTATTTTTGTAGAATAGGTGACGAAAGTATTAGAACAAACTGAATATTACATGTGTGTTAATTAGTTTTCCTCCTTAATAACTTAACGTTATGCATTAATTTTGACAGAATCTCGACATCTTTAACAAAAATAATGCAGAACGTGAAGCAAAAAGGTAGCGTAATTCCTTGCAAAGATAGCTTCTCTTTTCCTAAAATGAATACTGAGTACTCAGTATTTATCACATTAAAATATTTATACTTTGTCTAAAGAACTCGGGTATCAGGAAGGAAAAGTCAAAATGATCAGAAAGTATTTAATTATTGCCTGAAATCATTAATACCCATTACTTTTAGTTGCCCTGGAAACTTAACATAAGGGCGGGAAGGTTGGGGGCCAACTTTTTACACAGACTTCAAAGGGGATGAGAGAGAAGAGGTAGGATAGTTACAGAACTGTAGCTCTCTGGAAAAAATTCATCCTTCTCAGTACTAAAAGACCATCAAGTTACTGATGTGCATCTTCTGGTGGCATTGGTCTTTCCACACATTACGAAACATTTTATCTTTTTGTCAGTACTTACAGAAGTACATTTATTAGGTGAAATACTATAAATGGAGATAACAAACGGTATTCAAGCTCAAAAGTCCATAAAACAATTTTTTAAAAAATCGGAGCAGAGCAAACACGGACCTCCAAAACATCAGAGGTGCCATGGAGGAGTGAGTATCCCCTGCCGACCGGTCACACCAGCCATGTGCACCTTGTCCTGTTTGGGAGCCACCCGTCAGAGCTAATGATATATGACCATTTGTGCGATGTGTGGAATATGGATTGTATCTCAGGAACACCTTGGCCAATATGGTACAGGGGCATTCGTTTATTTCTAAAAATGGAGATGTCATTTTTAAAAATTGGAGATAGTAACGAAAAAATAAACAGAAAAAGAACCAAAAGGCAGATTATTACCAAACTTAAGCATAAGGATGAGGATACGTTTTAGATATATATCGTGAGAGTATACCATGTGGCAAAGTTTTCTTAAAACTGATATTTTGCCTACAAGAAGGAAAAGGACCAGAGGCCCATGGGCCACAGTGCTCACCTGAGCACTATGGCTAGGAAAAAAGCAAAAATCAATCAAGCAAATGTTTAAAAGCTTCAATGCATGTGGTCCCGACTTATCCCTGAGAGGGGGAGGGGTGTAACGATTTTAATTACTTCAAATCTGTACTAAGAATGTTTACATATACAGTAAAACTCGGTTATAATGAAGTCACAGGGACCTATGAAATTACTTCGCTATATCGGTAATTCGTTATATCCGTATAAGGAATTCATTAAATTCAAATAAATTGGGATCCAAAATAACTTCGCTATATCCGTGAATTCGCAATATACTTGTTCGTATGAAACGAGTTTTACTGTATCCTTCATTTGAACAAAATTGAATCCCCTTTACCCAAGGATGCTTAGTGGCAAGAAGTACAGACGGACAGACTACAGACAAATTGTGATCAGAAAAGCTTAATTACTTGAGCTTTTCAAATCAGATGAGCTAATAATCAAATCTTGTCAGTTGATGCATTTTGGGATTTCATGTCACGACTCAAAAGTAGGTCACAGTGACCTATATTTTGATTTCAGGTATTGATTTTTGTACTATTATCACGATATCTAGGATACTGAGAGGCTTTGAGTAAGAGTATTTTGTTATTTGATGTCAAATGGAATTTGTCAACTTAAAAGCAGAACACAGTGACTTAAATTTTGAATCTCAAAATTGCATATCAATGTATAGGATACTTAAGGTAATCAGCAAACTTTGTAAAATGAGTGTACCAGGAGATTATGGCATTTTGATCCAAAACTTTTTTTCTGTAATACTTCAAAAGGTTGATCAGTCTGTCTGTCTGTGTGTGTGAAGGTATAAGTTCCTTAAACATAAGCATGATAAATACAGTTGATAATTAAGTCCTTACTTGGGGATACAGATAACAAAGTTCAAAAACAACATTTATATCCTTTATTTCATTCCCAAAGGAAGTTTCTTCCTAATAAATATAAACATTGTGTAAAAGATTTTTAAAAAAAACTAATATCACAGAAATTCTAAAATAAAATGTAGTCCTCCTCTTCATATTCCTGATCTTGTAATTCATCACGGAGCTTTTTCCACCAAGGCTGCCGTAATAAACGTAATGTTTCTATGTGATCAGTCCTGGCTTTGGTTGCTATTGGTAACACATTACTAGAATACATTTCAATGTCCTTTTCACCTGCATCTTTTAAAGGAGGTGCCACTGAAATAAAGCAAAAGCATGGTAAATTTTCTTAATATACTACACGTAGTATGTACTTCAGATTTCAGTGACTTTTCATTTTGTCTTTCTGTAATACAATACAATTTACAATTATAACATTTTAAATATTACAGTGTTGTAACTGACAAACTATGTGATTAAATATATATGTACATGTAGTAACTAATTATGTGATTAGGGAAGTACAGTTTTTAAGTGCTTGAATCCCTTCCAGTGATATATACTTACGTGACAGAAGCTCTGAGTCCGTGTCCAGTCTCGCTAGCAGTGCTTCTCGATGGGCGTGCTTTTCTCTTGTACTTTTTAGTGTAACATAATGTCTTTGTAACATTTCAGCGGCCTTTTTGTGAACTTTTTCCAGATCTTCCCTTTTTGAATATTGAGGCTATCACAAAATAAAAATAAATATTTACTGTGCTTTCGCATTGATGCATTATCAGTTTAAGAAATCTGTTAATGAAATTAAAATAAAATTATGGTCTTTATGAATCCATTGACATCTTACTATTTTATTCATGTCCCATACTAACCAGATTTTACTTAGTAAAACTTTAAAATTAACCAAGAAATGATAAACCAATAAGTTGTTAATTTTACCACAGGGGATATATACATGTACTAAGTCATACTTTCATGAGATATGTACAAATGTATATCTATATCCTGCTAAAATTAGTTTTATTTTAATTATGAAATCTGGAGTCCAAAACCTAAGCAATATGTATGTATGAATTCCCATGATGACACTCACCAGTTAGCTAAATTCAATGATAATCAGAATGTGTTCAGTGATTGTTAGAGTAATGATGCTGACTAACTTTTCTTCTTACTGGTTAATATAGAACACAGGGCACAATAAACTATCTACGGACACTTACTGGATTCTCGTCCCTGAACTGTGTTATCTGTTGTTGTAGCTCCACTCTTCTGTTTTCTGTCAATCCAGGTGGTTTAATTGTGAAATGAAATCTCTCTCTCTTCTTTCTCATCTTCTCCAGCCATTTCCTCACCTGAAACAAATACCAGCTAGTAAGAACTTAAGAATTCCAAACATTGATATCTTAATTATGGTATAATGAATATATATATTTAAGTGAGTTGGATTATTGTTAAATCCCGACCACTTTTTCTTCAATAGGTATTTTAACCACAATATCTTGAATCTTCCAATATCTCAAAGTTTTATAATCTAGCTCTTCTCCACTGCATTTGAAAGAATGAAGTTAAAGTGTAATCAGAATGGTTTGTTATTAATAATTACACTGTTACAGGTTATTAAGATTTCAAAAAAATATACTCTATTAAAGGAAATATTTATAATGTATTTTGTCTGATAAAATTTTGCATAAATAGAATTTCCAAAGGCTGTACACAATATTGCTGGTTATATGTTTCAAATTATTCTTTATTTACAAGTTACATTGTTGCTAACATTTAAACAGTTACTGACATCATGTTCAAACAATAAAATGTTTTTCCAACCTACTTTTCTGCACATATCATTCTTATAATATTAAAAATTACAATATCTGTTAAAGACTGAGCTTCCTTGCTTACCCCCCTTTGTAAGATAACGGCTGCCTTGTAGCGGTGAATGAGGACCCTTTTCTCATCCATTGTCTGACGCGAGTGGAATCCTCGCCAGTTCCTCTGGATTTTAATGGCTGCCTGAATCTGCTCATTCTGCAGATACTTCTCAACATGAGCTGTTTTGAAGTAAAACAAAATTCTTATATTTAATATATTTTCCACATTGTTATGATAATGGATTTCTGAAAAAGAAATTTTGATTTACATAAAAATCTGTATAAATTGGTCAATCGTCATCTCAAACAGAAGCTGGCTCCAATAGGAGAATTACCATCATTACACTCCACTTCTACACTAAAAAGTAGGATCTACTCTTTTGTTCTTGGAATGTCCGAGTCATATAAAGATCTACCTTTTGTTCTAGAACTAATGAGGATGACATTTTTTTTTAGGAATCACCATTAGGTATAATAGCTTTTATTCAAGGAATTACTGTCACTATTACTTCTAGCTTCTTTTTCTATGAATTACTAAGGCACCATTAGTTTTAGCTTTTGTTTTGTAAGAATTTATCAAGCCACCATGAATTTCAGACTTTGTTCAGTTGGAATAACTTAAGCATCAGAATGCATGTATAACCCTTTTGTTATAGGAAAATCTGAGCCATGAGATCAACTCATTTGTTGCAGATAAGTTTCCATAGATTTACAGATTGAATTCTTTGACCTACCCGCTGGTAATATTTCTATCGTGTGGAGTTGCTTTTCTTTGAATTCTCTCAGTATCTTTTGTCTGTTGAGCTTCAGTCTCCTCTCCAGTTCTAACGCTTGTCTCGCCTCCTCCTTCCTTCGCTCCATCACAATTTGTCGCCTCCTGAAAGTGGTATGTAACAAAGGAATTAAAAATATTAATAAAAAAGGGATATATGAGGATCTACCAGTAGAAAATGTAAAGTTGACTATTTAAGTCACATGCCTGTACGTATTCTGGAACTTGGAGAAGGCTTTGTCGGCTTTCCTGAGTTTCTTCCTTGTAATGAACCCTCTCCATATTGTCTGAATGACTACAGCTGCTCGGGCAAATCTCTGTTTGATAAAAAATAATAAGTTCTCAATAATGAATTTCTACATCTTCTATAAAGGACGTAATAGGGGTTGTATTTGTTTTCTTCTAAAGTCAACAGTTGATTTTTTTACAAAACTTCTGGTAAAATTTA